CCTTGATAAAACACATATTACTCTAAATCTGAGGTCGAGTACGAACTACTTATCCGAGGTCGAATTTGAACCTTTATGAAGCACATATTACTCTAATTTTGAGGTCGAGAACGAACCTTCGATACGAACGTCCGAGGTCGAGTCCGAACCTCGGCATGATCCATTCTACACCGACTTAGGGTCGAATACGAACCCCAACATGCTTTACACAAATTCGAGGTCGAGAACGAACCCTAGAAACGCCCGTCCGAAGTCGAGTCTGAACTTTGGCAGGATTCATTTTACTCTGATGTAGGGTCCAATACGAACCCTAACACGCTTTACACAAATTCGAGGTCGAGTGCGAACCCTAAAACGTTAATCCGAGGTCAAGTTCGAACCTCGGTATGATTAAGGTCGAGCCCGAACCTTCCCAACGTGTCACTCAACAAAAATACAAGGCCTAATCCGAACTTTCGTACAACTCAGCTCACTTTAATTCGAGGTCGAATCCGAACCTTAGGTCGGATTCGAACCCCCCGAAAAGATTCATTTATGAAAAACTGAGGTCGAGGTCTAACCCCGGCATGACCACCTCGGATCCATAAAAACACACAACAGACACCAGACGTGTCTCAAAATGCGCAAAACAGAAAAAACCAAGTGCAAATAAACAAAACAAAATACGTATATACAGAGCTATGCCTTCCAAGTTCAATACATGAACTCAAAGGAAAGTAAAGAGAAAACAGGAAAACTAAACTATTACAAAAAACGACCTACACATAGGCATTCTCGCTGGAGCTGTCCTCGACATCATCCTCCTTGACCAGCCTCCCAAAGCGAACGACCTTCTCCACGTGCATGCCAGAGAAGTCAAACCCCAGCGCAAGGAGCCTGGCCTGGCGAGCAGCCTTGAGGAAGCCCCTCTTATGCTCCACCACGATGGAGCGCTCTACCTCCTCAAGTCTCCTCTCTAGCGCCGCCTTCTCGGCCTCCAACGACGAAAGGTCTACTCTATGGGCAACAATCTCCTCCTCTTTGCTACCAATAATGACCTCATCGCGAAGACGCTCCTCGGTCACCGACACCAGTTCGCTCTTCAAAAATGCGACCTCATCTTCCAAAGAGCGAACCTGCTCCCGAGAAGACATCACCTCACCTTGGGACGAGGTAACAAGCCCCCGCAACTCACCCACTCGGGAGACATAGTTTTCATTGGAGCGCAAGGCGATCTCCAATGACTTCTGGGCCTTGGCGAGGCCCCCCTCGCCGCCTGGAGCTCGGCTCCCTGCATCTTTGCTTCGCCAAGGGAGGCAGTCAGAACCCCGTTCTCCTCCCTCAGGACTCTATTTTCATCCTTCAGAGGCTGAATAAGACTCCTCAAGGTCTAACCCCGGCATGACCACCTCGGATCCATAAAAACACACAACAGACACCAGACGTGTCTCAAAATGCGCAAAACAGAAAAAACCAAGTGCAAATAAACAAAACAAAATACGTATATACAGAGCTATGCCTTCCAAGTTCAATACATGAACTCAAAGGAAAGTAAAGAGAAAACAGGAAAACTAAACTATTACAAAAAACGACCTACACATAGGCATTCTCGCTGGAGCTGTCCTCGACATCATCCTCCTTGACCAGCCTCCCAAAGCGAACGACCTTCTCCACGTGCATGCCAGAGAAGTCAAACCCCAGCGCAAGGAGCCTGGCCTGGCGAGCAGCCTTGAGGAAGCCCCTCTTATGCTCCACCACGATGGAGCGCTCTACCTCCTCAAGTCTCCTCCCGGCCCCCCCCTGCGAGCCTCGGCAGAAGTAGACGCAGGTACCCCCTAGGCGACCACGGAGGGATTCCCTTCCGACACCCCTGAACTCGGAGGGCCCGAGACCCCGGTGTCGTTCCGCGCCTGCAAGAAACAAGGACACTCTTCTGAGAATAAAAGGTAAACAGAAGGGTAAAACGACAATGCCACAGAAGGGCCAACCGCTTACGTCGCCAACCGGAGCAGCATGTACAGCACCCCGGATCGCCTCCTCAACAGCCTAGGTGGCCCGCCCGACAACAAGGACCACTTCCTCGACAACATCCCCTGCCTACAGGAAACAACCTCAAGTCAAAATGTAGAAAAACAACATAAAATGAAGAAAATAGAAACAAGACTAAGAAAAGAAAAATACTCACCGCGGCGGCCTGGACAACTCGCTCAGCAGCTTGGGCCAGCACCTCGCCAGGCTGAGCGATAGGCTCAACAGCCGACGCCACCCTCCCCTATTCCACGAGGGGCAGAGGTCCCCCCGACCTCTCTCCCGCCCCTCTTTCTTTTCCGGTTCACTTTTAGGGGGGAAACCTCCTCCCCTGGAGGCTCGGAGACCTCGAGCTCGGTCACGTTGAAGCAGTGCTTCAGTTCAAGCCACAAATCCTCCCCTATAATGCCTGCAGACAGAAAATAGGGCACATCAGCAAAGAAGAATTACACAAACCTCAACAAGCTACCAAAACATAAGATACTCACCCTCGAGGCCCCTCTCCCTATGCGCCGAGTTCGCCAGCGACAAGATCAACTTGCAGTCCAACGGGCGAGGAAGTGCCAAAAGATTCCCAATGGCGGCAGCCTCCGAGGCCGTCAATTGCGAAGGGTCCACCCCGTGGGACCTAAACGGTTTGGGGCACCAGTAGAAAGGAAACTTCGGCAATCCACCGAAGTAGAAGCCCCCATCCTCTAAAGGGTCAACGTCCACGAGGGCAACCCGGAATAACTCGGTTTTGAAATTTTTATAAGACTGGGAGTAAAGTGTGAATAAACCCCCCTCTTTACTGCCGTTCAAAGAAAGAACGCCATAAGGCGGAACACCCAGCTTCAACTGATAAAAGTGAAGGAAAACGCGAAGGGACAACTCTAACCCTAGGACCGCACATAGGACTTGAAACGCCCTCAAAAAACCCCAGCTATTGGGGTGTAGCTGGCAAGGAGCCGCGTTGATGTAGTTAAAGAAATCACACTCAAACTGAGTGAAAGGAAGACAAACGCCCAGGTCCCTAAAGAAACACTAATAGACATAGAAATGAGGAGTGTCGGTAGACCTCCCCATGTACACACCCTCACCGGCCGGACAGGGCTCGAGTCGAATCATCCGGGAAATGGAAGGGTCGCAAATCCGGTGCGTCTTCCAAACTGCATTGACCTCCAGAGGTGATCTGAACACACTTTGGACCCCCCCATTTCGCGCTTAACCCAGTCGTAGTCAGGAACGCCCGACTCCAGGTCCTTGGGCGGAGGCGGGTCCTTCCTCTCGACGGTGCCCCTCTCGGTAGCCACCGCCTTGTCGCGCGCCTTGCCCCTGGCAGGCGTAGAAGAACCGGCGCCACGTCCACCAACCATCAAGAGGAGTAACAAGACTCGAAGAGGAACTGTGAAAACGGAGATGAAAAACGAACGGAGGCAAGAATGCAAGAAGAGCTATCGTACTCGAGAAGCCGAAAAGCGAAAAAAGGATAAAGTGAAAAGAGGAAGAGGCGCGAGGGAGAGAAAAGGTTTTCCCCAAATTCAAAACGGTTGCGCCACGTGTTAGCCTAGGGACATGTCTGACGACACATTAATGGAAAACCATCATGACAAGCGCAAAACATCAGTACATAACCGTCACCCCCATTAACGCGCCACTTGCACGTTTTCGGGAATGACAGTTACGAAACACGACACCTTGACAGGCCAGCGCATATGCAAGGTCACTTTCCCCAACGAGCTCAGTCTTAACTCCTTGACCTGCGGTCTTCGGAGCTCGGGGGGCTAGTGTACTGTCCGTATTGCGAAGCCGAGCTCCGAGCTCGGGAGCTCGGCACCACAGCGCAAGATGACCTCGGGCACGCGCTACGCGACGTTAGCTCGGCATTTAAGTAGATCATAACTGATCTCAAGGAATCTCGCTCCAGACGAGATCCATCATCTAATCTTATCATATCTTATCTCAGGCCCAAGGCCCAAAGCAACCTTAATTCACACTAAGGTACGTGCATTACTTATACGAGACTGATACTCCCACAAACACTAACTTTAGCATCAGAGTCTCTTTTGCAGGTACCACCCCCATCTTGGAACACAAACGTACCAGTGAAGGAGGCTCACCGATCTTACCTAGCGGATCAGCTCTACAACAGATTTCCGGTAGGAACACCAATAACATATTTGAAAGTGATTAGTTAAGACAGTTATGCAATATCAACTAGATTTAATGTGATATTTTCACTAATAAGGATATTAATAGGTAGTGTACTATCTGTACCGCTATGCCGAGCTCGAGTTCGGCATCTCAGCACGGAGTGACCTCGGACACGCGCTAGGCGACGTCAGCCCGACATCCAAATAGGTCATAAATTGATCTCAGGGCTAAGACCCAACGAAACCCTAATTCACACAAAGGTACGTGCATTACTTATACGAGACTCATACGCCCACAAACACTAACTTTAGCATCGGAGTCTCTTTTGCAGGTATCACCCCGCCTTGGAACAGTAAGCGTACTCAGTGAAAGAGGCTCACCGATCTTACCCAACAGATCGTCCCCTACGACCGATCTCCGGTAAGAACAGGTAGATTTTATATAATAATATTTGATAAATTTTTTAACAAAATTTGAATATAAGAATTAAAATAATTTTTTTTGAAATTATAAAGACTAAAAATATTAGTTTTAAATTTGAGAGACAAAAAAATAGATGTACCTTAAATTTGAATTCTAAAAGCATATTTAAATCTTATTTTAATTAAAAAAATAGTTAAAGATGTGGATGTGTAAAGGGAGGGATAGAATATATATTTAAAAAAAACAATATGGCTGAGTCCAACAATAGAAACGGGCTTGGTGTTGTAGTGCACTTCAAAAGTTGGATCAGGAGCCCAGATGAGAGCCACACATCCGAAACACACGTTTGTTACCGATCGAGGAGCGGTGCGGATCAACCGAGAGAAAAAAAGAAAAAAAGAAAAAAGAAAAAAGAAAGGGAAAGAAAAGAAGGGTGAAATTGATTGGTAGTGTCCTAGTCTTGCCTGGGAGGGTGCTCTCAACTCGCTTCTTCTCATTGCATCAGGAGAGAGGGTCCTGACCTGTCCTGTCATCAGCTTACTATAATCATCATCATCACCACTCCTCAACCGCCTGGATCTGCCTCTTCGTCTCCGATCCGAATCCGCAACTCGGTCAGTCACTCTCTCTCGATCTCGATTTCAACTGCTTCTCCTTCCCCTCCCTCTTTTTCTCGATCTGCCAAAACTCCACCACTCAATTCCAAATCACCTATCACGCTTCATACTATTCTTCTCTTTCGCTCAATTCCAACTTAAACTAATCTCTTGCTCAATTCTCCTTCCTCTTACTGCTTACGCTATTTCCAATCTATTATTCACTAGCAAAGTGATTATTGCAATTGTTCTTGTGTTTGGTTGCTTAACGTTGATTGCATCGAATTGGTTTCTTCGTGTGACAGGCTTGGTGATGGAACTGAGGTTTTAAATTGTAACTGAATATAATAGCCAAGTGATTTGGATTGTTCTGTAAACTATGGGGACTGAAAATCCTGGTCGTCCAACCTTCCCTTCGAGACCTGCTTCGTCGCCTTTTGGTGCTGCACAGCCAGTGACTCCTTTTTCATCAACCGGTCCGGTGGCGGGATCAGAGCCTCCTCCTTACCGGCCTACTCCTCCGGCGCCTCCGCAAGCCGCCACGCCGTTTTCTTCGGCTGGACCCGCTGCAGCTAGACCAGGGGCACCCGGTTTTAGACCTGCACCACCAGGGAGGTTCAGTGATCCATCAATACCTCCTCCTCCGCGAGCATCCAATGCTCCTCCGCCCGGTGGACCGTACCAGCAGTTTCCGGCAGCGCCATTCCCCCCAACCACGCAGCAGCAGCAACGTGCTCCAATGATGGGACAAGCTAGTCAAGCACCGCCTTTTCCCGCGTCTCTTCCAGCACAGCCACAGATGCCTTTTGTTCCAATGGGCTCTCCCCCATCACAAAGTGCTGCTCCTGCGCATTTAGGACCGAATGCTCCTCCGCCTACGTTTCAGCCCACTTTTCCTGGGTACCCGAGTAAGCAGGCTGGTGCTGAAATGCAAGCTCCACCTATGCATTCCAATTTCCCTGCTAATCAAGGAAATTACGGGCCTGCCCCACCTGCAGCGGCTTCACCTTTTTTGTCTCACCAAGGAGGCTACGTTCCATCGCCTCCCATGGCTCCCCCAGTAGGTATGCAGCAGCCAGGCTCTGTGCCCCCTATGGGTTCCGTTCAGGGCTTGGCAGAAGACTTCAATGCGCTCACCATGCAAACTCGTCCTGGAACAATGGATCCATTATTTGACCCTAAGGAGCTTCCAAGGCCATTGGAAGGTGATGTGGAGTCAAAGAATTTGGCTGACATGTATCCCATGAATTGCAGTCCTCGGTATGTTCGTCTCACGACCAGTGCAGTTCCTAGCTCCCAGTCCTTGGCTTCAAGGTGGCACCTTCCTCTTGGAGCAGTTGTATGTCCGCTTGCTGAACCTCCTGGTGGGGTTAGTGCTTCTTTACCCTGCTTGATGAGTAGTAACATTCTTGTCATGCTATTTTCTTTTATTCACTGTTCTTTGTTTTCAGGAAGAGGTGCCTATAGTTAATTTTGCTCCTGCTAGTGTTGTCCGTTGTAGAAGATGCCGCACATATGTGAATCCTTATATGACATTTACGGAAGCTGGAAGGAAGTTCCGCTGCAACGTCTGTACCTTGCTTAATGATGGTACTTTTTATTTTCACAAACTTGTCTTTTGCTTTTGATAATAAAAAAATTCAAAAGAAAATAGATGGAATTTATCAACTACTTCTGGCCAGAGCGTTTTTATCTTGAGTTGAGAAAGTTTTCTCAGTAATATATCATATCATTCATATGTGTCGTGATGTTAATATGCTGAATGTTATGTACAGTTCCTAGTGAATATTATGCACAATTAGATGCGACTGGAAAAAGAGTTGATATCAATCAACGACCTGAGCTTACAAAGGGGACTGTAGAATTTGTTGCCCCTGCTGAGTATATGGTGCGGCCACCTATGCCACCAGTGTATTTCTTCCTCATTGATGTTTCCATATCTGCAGTTAGAAGTGGCATGATTGAGGTAAGTACTTCACTTCTAGCAGTGTGTGTATCTTGTACTGCATTTTAATAGAATTTACATTTGTTTGGAAAAAAATAATAATAAATTGTACCGTTTGGTAATTTATGGCCTTATTTTTGTGTGATGAAAAGATTCAGGATTAGTACCAGATAGATACATGTGTTTGATAAATTTTTATTTCAGCTACCATGAAGAAAAGAGTTATCCTATAATGTATTTTGTCTTAGATTTGTTTATTTAGAGAAGGAAATGGTCTGGTCACCAGAAAACTTATTAATGTGGTTTTCATTTTCGCTAAAATTTATACATCATATCATTTAGATGACTTTAGTCATTCGATTTTATTTCCTTTGAGTTATTTATTGACTACTGAATCTCACAATAATTAGTTGAGTTATTTCTTATGTGTATTTGAGGGTTGCATGTTAGCTTTCACAGATTATGCTTTATTAGCATGTATGAATAATTTGTGCATGACTACTTTTGTACTGAATGAATTCTGAAAGAATTAGTTTTAGAAGATTGAGTTTTATTTTGGGAATATTCACCGAAAGTGAGCTTTTAGAAATGGTTTCTTTTGGATATTGCAAGAAGTAAATTATCCTATTATACATAAAGGGCAAGTGTTGAAAGACAATTTGCCCAGAACCAGAAGTAACGTTTAGTCATTTGCTCCTTCACAAACATTTTTCTTGGCAACTTTGGGTTGTAGGATGTATTGTCTGTTTGAGGTTACTAACAATCAATTCGTCCCAAGTCCCAAGAGGTGTTTAGTGCACTTCATTTTGAGTGTTGATGTTAATGTCCTGAATACAGGTTGTGGCCAATACAATCAAATCATGCTTAGATGAGCTGCCTGGCTTTCCACGTACACAAATAGGGTTTGCAACTTTTGACAGCACGATACATTTTTATAACATGAAGGTTTGCTTGCTGTATTACTATCATTATTATTATTACAGTTTATTATTATTATTATTATTATTATTATGATTACAGTTAATATATCTCTGCCTCTCGTCGTCAATTTATACTAATTATTCTGTGTTATGCTTTTGCAGTCTTCCTTGACTCAACCACAAATGTTGGTAGTGTCAGATCTGGATGATATATTTATTCCACTGCCGGATGATCTTCTTGTTAACTTGTCTGAATCAAGAAGTGTGGTAGAAACCTTCCTAGATAGTTTGTCAACCATGTTCCAGGACAATGTTAACTTGGAATCAGCATTTGGTCCCGCTCTTAAGTCTGCATTTATGGTTATGGTATGTTAGTCCCTTTTCAACCTTATATGGTGATTTTTGTTCGTAATATCTGTTGTAAGTTTTTTTTTCCAATAAGTATTGAACTTTATAGTTAATACATTGGTTGGATAAATTTTGATATCACGTGACACAAAGTTACTATTAGAATTTGGATTTAGGTCCTAACTCAATCTTACCCAATTGACTTGTAAAGTGAGAATTGACCAAACTTTATAAACATTACTTAGGCTTGATCACTAGTTGATGTAAAATCATCAACACACCTCTTATGTTGAGAATTGGACATCTTGAGCATGAAATTTGTAGAACTGGATATTTGCAAGTACCTCGATGATGACTTGATAATGAGTGACCAAATGTGTCCAACATCAATCACTAAAATAACCTCCAATATCATCTCTTAAGATTTTGGATTTGGGCCTCACTCAATTCCAAAAGCTAACTTGTGAGATGAAGGTTGTCTCCCACTTATAAATATTACTTAGACTTTATCTTTAGACAATGTGGGATCTCTAATAGTTACGTATAGTTACATGAATTTTAAGAGCTTAATTTTTGAGGTAGAAAATTAGAGGATAGGTGAAATTGAATGTTGCAAATGCAAACCTAATGTTCATTCAACAGTAACAAGAAGAAATATTGGCATGTTCTTTAATTTTTTTGAATGAATATCAATTTGGATCTGTTGCCCCCAGATAATGTAGAATCTATGAAGAATTGTGGTAGGGATTAGGTAAGACCTGTGCTAGTTATTTATCATTCCGTTGGGCTTGTGGTGGGGAGTTCTTAATCTAATTTCAGGGATAAAATAAAAAATAGTCCCGATATTTGGAATTGGAAGTTCTAACTTATGGAATTGTGATACGTGCATGTGGTTTTATTGTGTCAATTATGGGAAGTCTGCCCTAGGTTGCTTTGATTCAAGTTATATCATTTATTTATTTTGTATTTAATAATTAATATGCCCTCGAGCCAATTGGCATCATGTGATCCATTGAAGAAAAACCCTCATCTAGTGGAATAAAGCTTTTGTTGTATTTAATACACCCTATATACACAATTATAGTTTTGTTAAAACTACAAAGTGCAGACCACCCGTATTTGGCATATCTTAAGATTTAATTTCTTGCTCAATTCAAAACTCCAAATGTGGCCTTGGGGCATTGCTGGGCATGCTAAACAATCAGAAGGTCGCGGAAGAAATCAGATGAACTGTAGAGAAGCAAGTTAGATTCCTTGCAGAATGGTGGGCCCTTTGGTTAGCCAAATTAAAGAGAATACTGTCCACTGGGAATTTATTGAATTTTCTGTACATCTTTCGTATGCATTTAACTTTTATCATTTTTCTTACATGCTACTTTGTTTTGGTCTCTTTCTTTGCCTCTCTATGCAGAGTCAACTTGGAGGGAAATTGTTAATATTTCAAAACTCACTCCCATCTCTTGGTGTTGGTCGCTTGAAGTTACGTGGAGATGATTCTCGTGTTTATGGGACAGACAAAGAACATGGACTGAGACTGCCTGAAGATCCATTCTATAAACAAATGGCTGCTGAGTTTTCCAAGTACCAAATCTCAACAAATGTGTATGCATTCAGTGATAAGTACACCGACATTGCCTCCTTAGGTAATTTTCTTACAGTTCCCTCTAAATTATGCAATGCTCTAATTCTGTATAAAAAAGTGCTACACCGATTGGAAGACTTCTGATCGATAAATCTGATTGATAATTCTTTATTGTTACAAAATTGTTTTATGATGTCTTGATCCCAATTTTATGGGCTGTTACGAAGTTTGTTAAAATTTTCTCTGGTCTCATATTCATTTAAAATGCTTTTGGAGTATAGTAGTCTTTCTAAATAACATGACTGAATGTTGTGATTGAATGATTTCCGTATTTTCTCTTGGTGGTGTTGTGATTATTGGTTTGGCGGAATATGAACATGTACTGTCATCCATGGATATCTTTGCCAAAAATATTGGCCTGTTAATGCTTAATTGAAATTATCAAATTATGCATTGGTGAGTATTCTGCAAATAATGCATCCCCCCTAATTTTGTTAGTTTTGATTCTCTCCAAGGCTCTGCGTGGGTTCTTTTAAGCACACATTCTTGGTATAATAATCCTATACTTTACATAGTGAATTATGTCTTTATAATTTACTGGCTGTTTAGGAACTCTGGCAAAGTATACTGCTGGTCAAGTGTATTACTATCCAGCTTTTCAATCAGCCATTCATGGGGAGAAATTGAGACATGAATTAAGGAGAGACCTTACCAGAGAAACTGCATGGGAAGCTGTGATGCGTATTAGATGTGCAAAAGGTCTGTGCATCCATTATGTCTTGAAAATCCTTTCTTTCATTGCCTCCTTTTGTTTATATGCTGTTTCTTGCAACTTGTATATAGTATTGCATGCATAAAATTGCTAATAGTTTCCTGTTTCTAGGTGTACGCTTCACAACTTATCATGGAAATTTCATGCTAAGGTCCACCGATTTGTTAGCACTTCCTGCTGTAGATTGTGATAAAGCCTTTGCCATGCAGTTATCACTTGAAGAGACATTATTGACAACTCAGACAATGTATTTCCAAGTTGCATTGCTGTATCCTTTCTTTGATAATGCTTGAGAAGTTGAGAGGAGTTCTAATGTGTACAAAAGTTTTATTGCTAATCATAATTTTTAATCTGATGTTTTAGTATTATGATACTGGTTGGCTATATTGTAATGTGAGAATAACTATTAAGACTTTTCTTATCTAAAAAGCATTATCATAAATCATATAATTGATATTTGACAAACTTTTTTATGTTGGCTGTTGACTACATAATGCTATCCTCTTTCATTCATTCTTGTACTTTAGCCATTTATGTTACTTGTTGGAGTTTTTGTCTCCCTGGTATATCTAACATTAAGAGATTCATTCACTTTTTATGTATTGAAATATTTTTAAGTTATCCTTTCCCTTGAGAAGTACAAAAAAACTAAATTTAATCTTATTTCTATCCTTTTCATTTTTGTAGGACATTTAGCTCATCTTATCATGCTTTGCTTTTACTATTTCTCCTCCACTGTTAACATTTATCTGAATGTATGTTTTAGAATTCATTTTTTAGTTAGAATATTTAGAATATGAAATTGTTCCTGCAAGTTGCATCCCTAACAACAAAATAGATATACTGCATCTTGTGGTGAAAGGCGAATAAGAGTACACACAATGGCAGTTCCAGTAGTTACAGAATTGGCTGATATCTATCGCCTGGCAGATACTGGTGCAATTGTATCACTGTTAAGTAGGCTAGGTAGGTAAACTGGACTTCTGGATTACTGATACCATGTGTGGATGATAGTTGCTTTTTATCTTAAACAGTTCCTTCATAATTGCAGCAATTGAGAAAACATTGTCCCAAAAACTGGAAGATGCACGGACTGCTGTTCAACTAAGAATTGTGAAAGGCCTTAGGGAATATCGAAATCTCTATGCTGTGCAACATCGCCTGGCCAACAGAATGATATATCCTGAGTCGTTAAAGTTCCTAATGTTGTATGGATTAGCCCTTTGTAGATCAACTGCTCTACGTGGAGGTTATGGTGATGTTCCACTGGATGAACGATGTGCAGCAGGACATATAATTATGACCGTAACAATAAAAAGACTGTTGAAACTTCTTTATCCTAGTTTGATTCGACTTGATGAATATCTTCTGAAGGTATACATTGCATTGCCTGAAACTACCAATAATATGGTTAAACTTTCAGATGCATGAATTATTTCCTTTTGTTCCAGGCATCTGTACCAGCTGATGACTTAAAAAGTGTTGAAAGAAGGTTACCTTTGACTGGAGAGAGCTTAGACTCTAGGGGCCTTTATATATATGATGATGGCTTCCGGTGCATTATATGGTTTGGTAGGGTGATTTCACCTGATATAGCCAAAAATTTACTTGGGGCAGATTTTGCAGCAGAATTATCAAAGGTATTGTATATTTCTGCTATACAAAAATAGCTTCATGATAGGTATTTTTCAAGGCAGAGGAGAGTTATTATAAGTTGTCACCTTGGGCAGCTTCATCTTTTTTCCCCAACTTTTATCTCTGCTGCAAATTGATGTTGGTTGCTTTTTGATTCTTTAATTAAATAAAATCATTATATGCTCTTTCTCTTCCGGTGTCTATACAATTGCCAAATTATAAATTATTGTCATGTTTATCTTGCACGCATGTAGCGGAATGGCCTGGTGTGATTTATGTAAATGATTTCATTTAATAGGACAAGGCTTTTGTTCTTCTTCATCTTGTGTGCCAATCTTTGATATTTTTGTATTAGAATTGAAAAGGCATATTGTACATTACCCTTGAGATTTCAAATAAATATGAAATTCTATGATATGAGCGCCATCTTCATGAAAAAACACTAAATTCAATGCTCGGTTTTTGTGACATAATTGATAGCAGTATAGTGATGTAGCAGCTGTGCAGAATTGGGCCACTACAAATATTGCATTATTTTGCATTTTGGAATTGTGGCTGCAGTTGCAATCACAGTGAAAATAGCTTCTGTTTGTGGTTCTACACGGAGGCATTTTCAAATCCCATTATGCTGTGACGTTTTTGGGGTTTCTTCGGGGCAAAGTTTTTTCCTCCTCCCTTTCCAAAACTTGCCAAAAAAAAAAAAACTAATTGGATGTAATTGCCCATACTTTCTCTCTTCTGTGTAGCATCAATAGTGTGACCAACACCTGTCTACCCTTCTATGGGTTCTGTTTTTGTCTGATCTGAACAACACCAACCGACCTCTGGCAGCATGTCTGCAACATCCATCCACCGTTTTTTTTTTTTTTTTTCTGTTTCGAACTCTGAAGCATACCACGAACCACATCTGTCCTTTTCTTGGTGCAACAAACATGCCATAAACTCAAGGATGGATTTAAAATAGTGCTGCGTCAGCACTTTCTCAACCCCTTGTACACTGGGGTATCCTACGGATGGAAACATAGACATTCCATGGCAATGGAATTGTTTGAAAAATATAAATGAATGATAGGAAGAGTGACTTGTGACCTTCGAGTTGTGTTTTTTTAATTGAGTTCTGTTTTGTGACACATTCGATTCTATCGTATTTTGTTGTTATTTACTTGTATGTTTTGCTTAAGAATAAACCTCGACTTTTTTTAATGTGACTTATGACTTTTGAGTTGTGTAAAATACAAATATGTCATGAATTTTGAGTTTTTTTTTTTTTTTTTTGAGCATTTATATGTAAATGGTATTACTTAATTTGTTTAAAAAGTTTCAAAATAGAAGCCATCCTCTAAAACATTTTTGAGGGGTGGCTGCTATATCTCGCTATCTAAGATTGATAACTATGATTTATCCTATAATTTTATTCATAAAATTGACTATTAGTTGCATTGATCTTGATGGATCTTATTCTGAACTCGTTGAATAACTTCTTGCATCGCCAATTCATAGCATCAAATCATAGTAGAGTAGGTATGCTTGTGTATTCCTCTTTTATGTATGTAACTGAACAAATCTGGTGCTGTGTATGCTTTATTTCTTTTAACAGACTACACTTGGTGAGCAAGATAATGAAATGTCAAGGAGGCTAATGAGGGTACTTGAGAAGTTGAGAAATACAGATCGTGCATATTACCAGTTGAGCCACCTTGTGAGGCAAGGTGAACAGCCCAAAGAAGGATTCCTCCTTCTTGCTAACCTTGTTGAGGACCAGATGGGTGGTAACAGTGGGTATGCTGAATGGATGCTGCAGATATCTCGGCAAGTACAACAGTCATAATATATAGGTATGACTTATAATCATTCTAAGGAAATTTTAGTTATTCTGGTGGTTCTTCAAGGGTTATCAATGGACATTGAATTTTACGTTATGAATATCTAGTATCTTTGACTATTGTAGTATTATGCTAGAAATTCTGTTTTAGTTCCTGGAAGGCATAGTTTTTATTTTAAATTTCTACGTAGATCTGAACATAATCACTTATCAATTTTATATATTGATTCCCATTTGGCAGCTTTCCTCGCTAAATAAGCAATTTTAGTCAGTTTGTTATTTGACTCACAAGTGAGGACCATTTCTTTCTACATTGAAAATGTAACGAATCTGTCCTTTGGGGGTGCTTGGAGAAGCGTTCTTGACCTGGCTGATTGATCTTGACCTAGGAGAAGGATGCTTTTGAGGGACTGTTGATTCATCCTGTGATGTATCAATTAGGTGAACTCTACCACATATATTGAACTTAAACGTGTTTTCACGTCTTCGATAGAGGGGAAAAAGAAACTTTTTGTTTTTTTGTTGTTGTTATTTTACCTTGTGAGATAAGTTGTCATTTCTGTTTTATATTTCCTTTTGTCGACATCTTATGGTTGATTCTTTCATTGTAGAAAAAGAAAGTAGACAGAACTGAGAAGAGATGGCATGTCAAATCAGTCTTGCGAAATCTTAAATTTTTGTTTGGTGACAATTATTATTTATTCTGATTTTTAATGTTGAAACTTTTTCTTTCAAATTGCATTTTTTTGTTGCATAAAATTTTAAGGAAAGAGGAAGGTGTCTCTGGGTTTAAAGAACACTTACAGACAATTTACATTATCTGCACCCTAAGATGAGGGGAGACTCAAATTTGCAGGTTGTAAGATTGTTCTAAAGAACACTTTAATTTACATTAACTACACCCTAAGTTGAGGGGTGACTCAAACACCACAATTAATTTTTGGGTAAATTGTACTATTTTTATTTTATTTTAATCAATGTGAATCATAAAGGGACAAAAAGGAAAAAAGAAAACTCATCAACCCCTCAAATAGCAATGCCTAGAGCATCAAGTAAGTTTATAGAATTCCAAATCTCTAAAGCATCTGGGAGGAAGCTCCTAGTTTGGCAAGCCATTTGAGTTGCTTTTATGATGTGAGTTGGAAGGTAAGGCCCAAGTATAAGACATTAGACATGTACTCACGGATCGTGCTGATGAGACTCATAGGGATGGAAGGAATGACTCACCCTTTAAAACTAACTCGAGAAACATTTTAGAGTCTGTATCATACAGACATACACAATCTGCCTGATACCTGTCTTCCATGCAATGAGGTTGGTGGTATGATCTGAAGAATCCGAATTACTAGCCAGCCACTGTTCTTGAACGTCTCTAATATCTTCTCCAAAGCCTGATATGTCATCATTGCCTAAAGAACTCTTTGATTACCAAACATTCTCTCAAGTTTGCGGATGATTTATGTACTTTTAGATGAATTATAAGGGGAACCACCTTTAATACCATGTACCACAATTAGCGCATCATCGTCTCTTTCTGCCTTCAACAATCCCTGCTACCCACCACTGAGCTCTGAAATTTTATTTTTCATGAGAAAGTATATTTTCTTGTTTTATTATAACAAAAAAGTTTTATATTTTCAAAAATCAGATTTTCCATAATTTGAAACTGCTGGACTGGATCTGATCCATTTCAGTTTTTTTTTTAAGCAAGATCCTTTTGACTTCAAACCAATAATCTGATATTTGATAATCCAAGAAGAATGGACTCGTTGAAGCTTTAGGCCAATAAGATGGTAATAGTAAAAAAAATTAGATGAGTATATTTTTAAGATACATATATATTGAATAAGACATGTCCATTTATGTCATGACTTCTCTTCCGAGAGAATAAATAAAAGTCTCCCGCGAGAAAAAGCATCGAGCAAGCTTAAGGACACAGATTTTGACAAAATAAATAAATTTAATGGTGTGTTTGGATGAATAATTTTACAAATTTAAGGAATTTCAAATTCTTGGTATTTGAATTACTTTGATTTCAATTTCTATCATTCTTAAAATATTTTGCTTGGATAAGTCAATTCAATTTCTTAAATTTTAAATTGTTAGGTTGGATATGATAATTTGATTCTATCATGGTAAAATTGATTTTAAAAATATATTTATATGTTGAGATTTTTAAATTAAATTTTATAAACTAAATATTAGCTAATTTTTAAATATTTAATAATTTTAAAAATTAACATTAGATAATATTTAATAATTTTAAAAATATTTTTGAATATTCAATAATTAAAAAATAAAAAGATAAGAGATAAGATAAAATATATATGTGAAATAAAAAAAAATATATGAAGAATTTTAAATTCTTACTGTTTTGGGAGAATTTGAAATTCTATTATTTCAAGAAATTTTACAAATGTTTGAATTTGAATAGTTTAAAAATAATAAATGAAAAATGAAAAATTTTCAAACTCTTAATATTTTGAAGTATTTATATTTTAAATTTGTTGCCGAGTATTTTTAACGGCATTGGCGTTGATGAGTTAAGTTACGTGTTTGTTTGATCTCAACCTTTTATGGAGAAGAAGAAAACACTTGAGAAGCGACTCGGTTCGGTAACGATACTGAAAAAAATAAATGCTCATCATTTTCGGCAATGACACTATGGACTAAAAATCCTTGGAGGACGACGCCACCCACCCTATAATAATTTATTTGTGCCATATTTTCGTATATATTTTTTTGACAATTTCAACTCTTAAAATAAAAATAAAGGTCATAACTTTTTTTTAAATTAATAAAGGTCATAAAAGTTTTTTATTTTGTAAAAATTGTTATCAAGTAATAATATTGTACACTATTCCACTAATATATGTATTCAAGCAGAAGTACAAAGTTTCTATATTTTTTAAAAGTATATGATAAAATTAGTTTTTTTTTATAAATATCTTACACTAGATTTTTATTTATTTATAAAACACGTGCATCTTTTTTAAATGTTTAATATAAAAATTTAGCTCCTTTAAAGTAAAGAAATATATTTTAGAAGATTTTTTTTAATTAGAAGGTAAAATCAACTATTGAGAAGTATGATAAAAATTAAATATATGTATAATAAAATATAAAATTGCTTATAATATTTGTGATTAATTTTTTAATTGATAATTATTATTATATACTCGAGTAAAATCTAAGACTTCAAATTTTTGTTTAAGCTAAAATAACGCTTGATTCACACGTTCAATAAATTTCTATTGTATCTTCAATATGAAATTTAACAGGAAAATGACGTATTATTAATTCTTTGATCGATATCAAATGGCCCATTATATATTACTATTTTTACAATTTATTTATTTATTTTAATCCGCAATTTTAAATTCCAACTTAATACTTACTAGTTTACATGCATAGTATTTTTTTTTTTTACAATGACAACAACACAGTCATAATTTAAGATATTAGTGTTAAAGTTAAATATAAGTAATGATTTTTATTGACATTATAAAATTATTTTATACTTTCTATGCATGAACTATTTACTCTAAAATAAAATAGGATTACGAGCATCAATCGCAAATGGCTTTTCTTTAGGTCACAAATGACTTAGTTATAACATGTTTCTCACAAATTTAACAATTAAATATTCCAATAAATTAAGAATAACACTGTTACTTTGGGAAAAAAAAAACATTGTTAAAACAAAGTAAGAGAAGATTATAACAGATCCGCTAAAACGTAAAACACTATTAACTCTAACAAATAAAGTCTTTTAAATCAAATTTGATTAAGCAATACAGTGTAGAATGCGAATTAAAAGTGTTTTTTTTATTCATGAGTATCAAGCACAGTACTTAAATAAACTGACCTGACATAAGAGAGTCATACTAAAAAAAAAACCAATGTTTTAAAACATCATGAAAACCGAGTTTATTTATTTTTAATTTATTTTTAAGAATATCTTAATCAAATATTTGAAAATATAACTAAATTGAATCGGCACCAAACAAAGTTTAATTAAAATGAAAACATCTTAAAAAAATATATATTTAAAAAAAAATTATTTTCTTAAACAAGTTTTTGGATCATGAATAAAAAAACACAAGTTTTTGGATTATTATTTCAGAATCGAGTACACATTAGGATAATATCACCTAACAACATCAGTTTTAAAAATGGATCGTTAATTAAATGTATTTTTTTTTCTCGTAATTTTGTTTACCCCTTTGCTTGTAAGAAAGATTTTGCTTTCAACATATTTTTATCCTTAGAATGAAAAATATTTTTAAATTCTTATCTTTAATAAGAATATTTTTAGAGATTTTTTCCCTAATAAAAACATTTGAAGATTTTATTAACCTCTTATCTCTTTTAATGTATTGTTTTTGTTTTTGTTTTAAATTAAATTTTGATATTTTTAAAAAAATATATCAGCAGTTAAAAACAACATTATATTACAACTTAAATTATTTATTATGAATTTTAAATACAATTTACAAAATTCATTTATTTATTTATTACAATTTTTAATTATAACATAATTTATATATTTAAAACATTTATTTATTATAAATTTAATTATATAAAACACATTTGTTTATGATTTGAAACCAGAAAATACGTATTTATTAAAATAGTTTTTTTTTTACAACCCCTATAAGGATAAAGTAAGAAACATAACAATCGAATTATTTGTATTAACATTTTTTAATTAAAATTCCGGTTTACTTATATTTATATTCTTTAAGAAATATTCGCATGCCTTTAAAACTAGTATTTGTGTTATTTTTTAATTCACAAAATAACTGAACGCGATAATTATCTTCAAAAGTGGGGTCTAATTGAAAGAAATTTTGATTGAATTTTATACCAATCACACTTCTGTAGTTTATATGGTGGGACCTTGCATGGCACATGATGACATGAAGCATAATACTCACAACTATTTCATACATTCGATATTGTGCACCTACCTTTGTTCACGTCCATCTCTATATAAACTCCACTCTACCTCTCTATTTTTCCAAAGACCTCAAAATTCAGTTTCTCAAAACTTTTGCTCTCTTGCCTCTTTGTTATCTTTCTCTAATTTTTGCTTGGTTCCACAAGTTTAATTTCTGTAAAAAAATAACACGAGAGAAAATTTTCTGTGTGTTATTATCTATCATATAATTGATGGGGTTCCAAAACTTTATATTGTTGATTTTTATGATAACATTGGTTATTGGTGAATATGGGAATTGCAGGGTTATTATTCGTGATTCTCATCACCATCATCATCATCACTCACACAAAAACTCAGCTACCAAAATACTTTATGATAGTGATAATAGTTCCGTTCAACGAAGTGGCAACCATTTTGTTCTAAATGGGAAGCCATACTACTTAAACGGATTCAATGCTTATTGGTTAATGAATATGGCATCCGATCCATCTTCAAGTTCTAAGGTCACTACAGCTTTTCAGCAAGCTGCGCAACAAGGTTTGAACGTAGCAAGAACTTGGGCCTTCAACGATGGAGGTGACAAAGCCCTTCAAATTTCTCCAGGTTCTTATAACGAGAATGTCTTCAAGGTATTATATCTTACCTTAATTTAACCTAAATATAAATGTGTGTTTTACCATGTGCAAGTGTACATTTGTGTTGATTTTTTTTTTAATGATTGAAAAGAAATCAACTATATTAATTTTCATATCTCAATAAAAGAATGATACTAATTAAATACCACAAAAAAAACAACGGCATGAAAGGTATTCAACGTACGTAAAAATATATTTTTTCCCAATAATGTAATTTTATTAATTTGGTCACCATCATAATTTATTGCCTTACTTTTTTACACTAAACTTCTTTAAAAAAAATTTACAAAAATTATTTATGTATTTATGAAAATTTTCATGTATTCTTATCTTAAAAAGGTCGCGTGAAAATAATGTCAATATTTATATTTGAATTTTAAGATAGAAATAACATTATTGTCAACTTTGACCAGTTGGTCAATGCAAAATTCTGTCTTGACCAAGTGGAATGAGGGTGTTTGAGTTTATTATATGACCAAATTTAAATTATATTAAATTTACCAAATTTTGTGTTTTCTTAAATGGTACTGTAATTAATTTGGTGCTTTTGGTTATGCTTGGTAGGGATTGGATTTTGTGATATCAGAAGCAGGAAAAAATGGGGTACAAGTGATACTAAGCTTGGTAAATAACTGGAACGATTTTGGTGGGAAGAACAAGTATGTTCAATGGGCAAAAGAACGTGGTCAGAATGTTAACAATGACGATGACTTCTTCACACACCCTGTTGTTAAGCAATACTACAAAAATCACATCAAAGTAAGAATATACGACAAGTTAACTAGAGTGATATATTTGTTCAAATAAATATTTAACCTTTCGTAAATTTTGTTATATCATGCAGACTGTGTTGACGAGAAAAAATACTATAACTGGATTAATATATAAAGACGATCCCGCTATTTTTGCATGGGAGCTTATGAATGAGCCTCGTTGCCAGAGTGATAATTCCGGAAAATCATTTCAGGTCTTTTTTTTTATGGTCTTTGTTTGGACGTGTAATTTGTTACAAAGTTTGACGGTTACATAAGTATATCACTCTTGTCATGTCTTTGAGAAATGTACTAAAAAGTTTGTTAACTATTATAGGATTGGGTGGGGGAGATGGGTGCCTATGTGAAGTCCATTGATAACAAACATTTACTCGAAATAGGGCTTGAAGGATTCTATGGTGAATCAATGCCAGAAAAGAAACAGATCAACCCTGGAGGTATCGAAATAGGAACTGATTTTATTTCTAACAATCAAGTTCCTGAAATTGATTTCGCCACCATCCATCTCTACCCTGATCAATGGTACATCCTCTATAATTGTTTTCATTTGTTCACTAGATAAATTCATGTTGAATTGGGTAAACAACATAATTAACAGGCTATCGAACTCTAACGAAACAGCCCAAGATATCTTTGGGCACAAGTGGGTGGAAGCCCACATTGAGGACTCAAATAATGTCTTGAAAAAGCCCATTCTTCTTAGTGAGTTTGGAAAGTCTACAAAGTGTGCAGGATACAGATACAGCGTGGATAAAAGAAATAGTTACTTTGAGAAACAATACAAATTGATATACAATAGTGGTAGCAGGGGAGGATCATGTGTGGGTGGGCTTTTTTGGCAACTAATGGTACCGGGAATGGATGGATATGGTGATGGTTATCAAGTCATCTTTGAAGAGAGTCCTTCAACTGCCCATGTCATCGCTCAACAATCCAAGAGGATGTCAAGTCTTAAATAATTCTATTCTATTGTATGTCATAATCATTCTTCTCATGTAATGCTATCCTAAGATAGATATCAAAATAATGGAATTTCAAAATATATGTACCCTTTGGATATTACAATATTATCATGCTTTATCAGTTCCCTCCTTTATCATCATTGCTTTAGATTAGGAATGAAACACATGGATACAAATTTGTGTTAACCTGAAAATCTCTCTATTATTATTCGTGCCTTGAGTTAGATAAATAAATTTATTTATAATAATAATGATGTTTTTACTTTTAATATAATATCATTTTTTTTTCATTTTTATAAATTATTCAACTACCATAATTAAAAATAATATATTTATTAAAAGGTTTAATATTTTAATAAAATTATATTAAAAAATAATACTTTTAAAATTAGACTGATAATTGAATTGATAAAAACATTGGTTTAAGATTCGATAATTCGATTGAATCGTGATTGTATTGATATTAATAAAATTATTATTATTATTATTAATACAAAATTAATATTAAATAAAGATAATATTACAGTTTTATAATACCAAAAATTTAAAATAAATTGTTATTTATATATTCTTAACATTTAATGTATACATAAAATTTTATATTATATAATATAATATTAAGTTTAACTTTTAACAAAATATAACAATGTTTATTAATAATAACAAGTTTATAAAATATAACAATATTTATTAATAATAACAAGTTTACATCTAGAATAAAAAAATATTAAATTAATATAATATAAATTATAAAAATAAAGATATTAAAAATTACGAATTAACATAGATGATTAAATTATATTTATGAAACAAGTATTAAAAAAATTATTATAATTTTTTATTTTTTATTAAATATATTTTAAATTAAAAATGTTTTTTTAAACTAAATTGGTTCTACCAATTCGATACAGAACGATTCTTAAATCAACTATCAAATCAATTTAAGATATACTCTCTATTGAGTGCGTATTTGAATTCACATTTTTTAATAAATTCACGTTAATTTGACGGAGAAGCAAATAATATTAGCTTCTCATTGGTCCATGTCTTCACATGGGATGCAAAACCAAATATACACTAAATCAGTTTAGTTTTGAAAATTGTGTTAAAAAGTGATGCTTCCTTTGGACATATATATAAACAAAAAAAAATGTTTAAAATTTTGGATAAAAAATAAATAAATTTCAATCAAATCAATCGTATTTAATATTCTTAATCCAAAAATACAATAAATTAGAACACTATCTATCATAAATGTGGTTTAAAATATTTTAAAAAATATAGTGCATATTTTATGTAAAATTACTAAAGTTAAATACATTTAATAAATTTTCTTATTATATGTGAAATTAGTTATTTTTACTTATATATATAAGTTTAAAGAAATACATTATTGTTTTTATTTTGTGTATAAAATATAAACTTTATAACGTAGTCATTATAAAATGAAGAGAGTAATAAAATTGTTGAAATTATGAAATAAATAAAAAAATTGTAATTAAGTCTAAATAAGAAGTATTAGAGTTTGTATAGTGTAGTATAATGCAGTGATGTAAGCGGGTTAGGTCAGGCTGAGTTTGGATAAACCCATTATCCGACCCGATTAAAATTTAACAAGTTGGGTTGGATTTGTGCAATTTTTTAAAACTCAATCCAACTCGACTCAATCACGAACAAGTTGAGTTGGATTAATCGGGTCAACATAATTATATTTATTTATTTAAAAAAAATTTAAAATCGATGTAAATTATTTGATACATTGTTACAAATTCTATATTATCAACATATAAAACAAACAATGATACAAATTAAATTCTAAAATAAATTTATTACTTTTTTACATTATTATCAACTAAAAAATTAACATCAATTAGTACAAAATAAGATTTAAAATAAATATATTATATTGTTATAATGTTATCGACTTAAAACATAAAACTTCATATTAAAAGTGTGTCAGTATTGTCCTGAATAAATGATCATTCAAGCATTGTTATTATTATTATTATTATATATGATCGGGTTAGGTCGAGTTGCTAACAAATAAAAAACACAAAATTCGTTATCTACCCCCATACAATATATAATTTTGAACAAATTGAATTGAGTATGATCGAAAATACAAAAAAATTTAATCTAAATTCATTAAATTGATTTAAGTGAGTTCAAATTTACAGAGTATCTGTATTCGATTACACTCCTAATAATGAATGAAAGCCTAAAATCATGCATTCAAGTTTTAGGAGTGCATATTAGTACATAAAAAAGTAAAATAAAATGGTGCATTCAAGGTGGTTTAGCTGTAATTACTATGAATAAAATAACAGTAAAAGAGTGTTGTTGTTTGACTGGCAAGGGCACCAAAAAGCAGAAACAGTGATTTACTCACACAATTTCCATTTTCATACATTATATTGTATTCATCACACCAAAGGTACTCTTATTCTTCTATTTTCATTTTCCCTCTTTCTGCCCTTCTCTCTCTCTCTGATTTAACTGCTCTTCATTTTCTCCTCACACCCTTCTGTGTCTTTCAATCCACTCTTCCATTTCGCTATATTCATTTACGAGGCTTTTTAGGTCCGTGTCTTTCGGATTTTTTTTTAATTTTTTATTTTTCATTGATGCAACAATGGGTTTTTCCTTGAATTTGTGATGTTGGATAGATGGATCTCTAGCGTTCTTCAGTAATTTCCTCAAATTACTATTTTTAGGCAAAACAAAATAATTAAGGCATTTACATTTTTTTTTTGTTTGAATTGTGTTTTCTGCTACTTTCCTGTTCTGGCTTCAATTTTAGCTCATATATTTCAATTTTATTTTACCCTGCTACTACAACGTCTGATTTTGGTGTGCTATTAATTAATTCCAGGAGGTAAGTGATTAGGTTTTAAGCTTTCAAAATATCAGTGAAGTTTGGTGCAAGATGGCGTCGGTTGGTGTGGCACCAACATCAGGTTTGAGAGAATCCACTGGTGTTGATAGGTTGCCGGAGGAGATGAATGATATGAGAATTAGGGATGATAAAGTATGTCAGACACTGTATTTATTTTTATTTTGGGTTGATATTTTGTTGTTTGGGACCTTGTTGCTTACAGCTTGCTTCATCTTGTAGGAAATCGAAGCCATGGTGGTTGATGGCAACGGAACGGAGGCAGGACATATCATTGTTACTACCATCGGAGGTAGAAATGGTCAACCGAAGCAGGTATACCTTCTCCCTTTTTTCCCCCAATTGTACTGTGCTTTGGAAATTGGAATGTACTTTGAAATAATTTGACTATTGTACTGCTTCATTTGCTCTTCTGACATCTTGGGGCTTGGAAGTTGATAAGAAATTAATGCTTTAGTTTGGAGTTATTAATTGTGTATAAATGTCTTTTTTTTTTCCCTGTCGTTTATAATGCTGCTGTGAATGTGACTGTGAGTATTGACCTCAAAGCCGTTTTTGCACCTCTCAAGATTGGGTATTATGCCAGCTGTAATGCCTGCTAAGTGCTAACTTGAATCTTTATACTGAGAGTCACTCAACTATTTTCTGTTTTAAACATGTTTTTGTTGGGCTTTATCATTGGTATATATACTCACTGATGGAGCTTAATGGGATAAACAATTATCATAAAGTTGAATTTAATCCTCATCTACACATTTCTTTAACCAGATCACAATTCATTTTCTTCCCCTTTATAATATGTTTATTTCTTTATAATAATTGAACCTATATTTTGAATATTTCAGACTATAAGTTATATGGCAGAGCGGATTGTTGGGCATGGGTCATTTGGGGTTGTCTTCCAGGTATGGATTCTTATCCAGTCTACTGGATGAAGTATTAGTTTAGCCTTTCAAACAGAGTGATATATGATGTCTTTTGCTGATTTTTTTTTTTTTTTTTTTTGGTATAATTGTAGGCTAAATGCTTGGAGACTGGTGAAACTGTGGCTATCAAAAAAGTTCTTCAAGACAAAAGGTATAAAAACCGGGAGCTGCAAACAATGCGCCTTCTTGACCACCCAAATGTTGTATCTTTGAAGCATTGCTTCTTTTCAACCACTGAAAAGGATGAACTATACCTTAATTTGGTGCTTGAGTATGTTCCCGAAACAGTTAATCGCGTGATCAAACATTACAACAAGTTGAACCAACGGATGCCACTGATATATGTGAAACTCTATACATACCAGGTATGCTTAATGATGACAGTCTGGTTTTGCAATGATCCTTTTGTCAGTTTTATTTTAGAAAATGGCTGTGTTAATGTTTCCGATTATTTTCTAGCACTCTGAATTATTGCTCAAATTTTGGAGCATCCACTTAAACTGCTAGATAAATCTTAAACCATGCAGTTGTTCAAGTGGTGTTGATTCTCTTTTCTAAGAGTTGTTGCTATGAACTGTTGAGTGACCTTTGGTTTCCAATTCCTTAAAGTTTGATTACTAGTTGTGCATAACAGTATGCACATTTGATCCTATTTTGAGTTGGGTGTGGGTTTCTGTATTTTGATTTTATGTGGCATAGCTGGCTCTGTAAATGTAGAGTAGAGTTATGTGCAGTGTTGTCCTTCTTGGATTCCTTTCTTATCTTGCCAAGGTTGTATCTGTTTTCTTTATATATTGCAGATCTTTAGGGCACTATCTTATATTCATTGTTGCATTGGAGTCTGCCATCGGGATATCAAGCCTCAAAATCTATTAGTATGTATTCTATTTTGCTTATCTGGTCATAAACCACTATTTCAAACTATGGAGATTCATGACTGTTAGTTAGCAACAACTAATTGAGTTTTTCTATGCAGGTTAATCCACATACCCATCAGGTTAAATTATGTGACTTTGGAAGTGCAAAAGTGTTGGTATGTTTTATGTGTGTGTGTGTTTGTTTGTCCATTTTAATTTCAATTTCAACCATTCCTCTTGAAACTTCAGTTGTCTGGGTGGTATTAGGAGTTTATCTTCACCTTGTTTGCTCTGACCTTTGACAGGTAAAAGGCGAACCAAATATATCATACATATGTTCCAGATATTATAGAGCACCTGAGCTTATATTTGGAGCAACTGAATATACTACAGCTATTGACGTTTGGTCAGTTGGTTGTGTATTGGCTGAACTTCTGCTTGGACAGGTAGGTGGTTGTTGATGGGAGCTCTTTTGAATTTGATTCTGTGATTTAGCATATGTAATAATGATATTTTTTTTTCCAGCCTTTGTTCCCTGGTGAGAGTGGAGTTGATCAGCTTGTTGAGATTATCAAGGTAATATTTTATTTGTTATTGCTGCTATGTCTACCTTATCTATCTATCTACCTATATATATATTATCTGTCCAGTTTCAATGTCAAATGTTACAATTCTGACACTATTGGTTTATTGTCCAGTGGCAGTTCTGCCAGTTTAGTTATTTTCTTGAAAAACCAAGGCATTTGTCAATTTTCAATGTAGGATTTTTGTATATTCTTAAAAAATGGATCATTTGAAACAAATTTCATGTTCTTCCATTGCACATGTTAGCGTTCTAGTTTCTATTGAATTCATCTTTCATATTGGTATATTGGAGGGTTCGACTAATTCTATTGTAATTTGTAACACTAACACTATAATCTATAATGCAATGAATGATGAGTTGTTGACTTTTAGGTTGATCCACTAATCAATTTAATGGGCAGGCTTGGTTATTTACACCATGTCAGTAGTATCTTTAACATGTAAATTATCCACTTGTTGTTTTGATAGGTTCTGGGAACGCCAACAAGGGAAGAGATCAAGTGCATGAATCCTAACTATACGGAATTTAAATTCCCACAGATTAAAGCACATCCATGGCACAAGGTATCACAAATAAATTTAATAACATTTTGTATTTTATACTGTATTAGCTCACCATTGTGACCATACTAGCATATATATTGTAATTGGTATTGTTGACCACACCGCGCTGATAAATTTGTTGATTTGCTCCTTCCAGATCTTTCACAAGCGCATGCCTCCAGAAGCAGTTGATTTGGTATCAAGACTACTACAATACTCCCCTAACTTGCGGTGCACAGCTGTGAGTATATTTGACTTCTTAGCAGTCTTTTATAATTCAATCCAGCTAATTTGTAAAATAGTTCTGTACTGCTCTCCTTCATGACGTAGTGGTAGTTCCTCATCCTTTGAAGTTTTATATAATGTGTTTTTCTTTATCCGGTGCAGTTAGATGCCTTGACCCATGCTTTCTTTGATGAACTTCGTGATCCAAACACTCGCTTGCCAAATGGTCGTTTCCTTCCACCATTGTTCAATTTCAAATCTCATGGTATGATAATTTTTTACTAAGCTATTCCGTTTGTATAACTGGTCATTTTTCCATCATTAGATTTTAGTTCTACCTGATGTTGCTGCCTTTTTACCAGAACTGAAGGGAGTCCCGGTTGAGATTTTGCTGAAATTGGTTCCGGTGCATGCGAGGAAGCAGTGTCCATTTCTAGGATTGTGATATAGCTTGTGATATTGTGAAAATGTAACGAAACTGCAAAAGTGTCGTTTCAATATATATAAATGCTCCGTGATCCGTATTTATGAAATGAAAATTTTTCCATTATGTATCCTTGTAGTATTTTGGTGCCTTGTAAAAACTGATTTAGAGATATATGATACTCAATATTACCCAACACTCGATGGGTAATCAGAAGAAAACTGTGTTTCCTGTTAACAGATTGTAACATCTAATAGAAGACAAGTGCCATATGTTAAAAATGGTGTTAGTATTTATGAATACAATGATGAGTGGTTGGCTAATTGAGTTATGCTCTGCATTGGGAAATCAATTTTATCTTTGTGTGGCTAGTCTTTATCGAAATAATGATGAGCCAGTCAAGCTGCACGTCCCTAATCTAAAGGAGATTGCAGTTAACAAGTTTGTCTAAACTAGTTGTACTTGTTGAAAACAGTACTCGTTCAAAGTCTTCTGGTCTTAGTTTTTGATTTTTAGATTGATGGTTGTATATGTAAAAAGGATTTTGATGTCTAGTGGATGTTCGGAGAGTATGTTGTAATCTTGAGAATGAACATATTTTTTAAAGGTGAAATGTAAGTGTATATATAAGAGAAAAAATATTATCGTTGGTTAGCAAGACACTAAAATGGATTTAAGTTTTTTTATTGTTATCTAACGGTTTTTATTTGTTAGACTTAACTACGGAATTAAGTCCTCAGTTAGCGAGGACTCTTTGGATTGAGAGTGATCTCTATTGAGTAGGTTAACTAGTGTTCGGATTTTTTTGGTATGTAACCGAAATATCAATCTTGTGTAATTGTGTTCATAGTCAACATGTCTTTAATGAGAAATAATAAACGAGTCTCTAACATCAAGATTGAATTATAAAAATATAAAAAATGAAATGCTTGATTCCAATTTTTTTAGTTTAGGAACTTGATTAAAAAATTTTAAAAAGTTCAAGAATCAAATAATATATTAAAATTTAATTAAATTATACACGCACACACACGTATCATGTTATAAAATATTTATATATAAAAACTCATATTTATCATTTTGCTTAAGACTCATGAAATGTCATTGAAACAACTCCATCACTTTTATATCACTTGGAGGGAAAATCATTAACATTAAAGCCTCAAGAAGATGTTATTTGGTGTTTGACAAAAAAATATTATACAGAAGGGTAGATACATATGTAATATGATATGACAAGAAAAAAATAGAGAAAAATATGATATGCCAAATAGGTATTTATATTATAAAAGTATCCATATATCATTATTGATTTAAAAAATTAAAATATGTGAGTTATTAATATATATATATATATATATATATTATTTCTTCTTTTTAAATAAAACCTAGTTTTGGATGTTATATGTTGTTTATTCTTTAAATGAAGTGTGTAACACTTTGTGAAAGGTTTAGTTCTCTTTTTGGAGGTTGGTATATGGGAAGGATGACTTTTGAGTGAGTGTGGTTTTGGAAGCTAAAACTTCTATTATTCTCCTTCTTCTCTTCTTGTAGACTCTTTGATGCATTAAGCTTGGGTGTTGGTGGTTGGTGGTTTCTTCTAGCATTGGACCTCAGTTTTAGTGTGGTGGTATAAAGTTTAAGAGAGTCAAAACTCATAGTTGTTTCTTCTTTCCTCTCTCTCTTTTCTTCATTTGGGTGGTTGAAGTAATAGGTAAAGGAAGTTAGAACATCTATATTTGGAGTAGTTTGATGGATTGCATGTTAGGTTCTAAAATCAAACATGTGTTGATTAGTGAATTTCTCCGAATTTACATTTGGGGTTTTGGGACGATGGGTGTCTTGACTCATGGATGAGGTGTTGAATGATTTCAATTGATTTTGTGCTTGCATGTTGAATTGGACTTGGTTTTGAGTTGTTAACGTTTGGAAAATGTGGTTAGGTGTTATGCATGCTAGGTTTTTTTGTTTTTCAGGTGGATTGAGATGATTTTCAAATGCATTTGCAATATTTTTAAATGACGTTAGACGTGCCATCATAGTGTCAAACATAGTTCCAACCAATGATCTCTGTCTCGATTAGGGCTCAGGATCAGTGGCGTTAAACATGAAGAGAGAAACTCGTCTCGAATTGGGATGACGTCGGGTGTGAGAGCCTTGAAAGGTCTCTAACTTGGTGATGTTGCATCCTAGTTGGGTAGCACCAAGCATGATCAAGGTAGAGGCTCCCTGTTTGGATGACACAGGGTGTCATTGAGGTGACATCGAACGTTAGTCAAAGAGAGGCTTTTTGCCTGATATGAGGTTAGACGTGGGTTTTGTCACGTCAGGTGCAAGGTCTCATAGGGGTCTCCATCTCAGTCATGCCAGACACAACTTGGATGGCATTGAGCGAGGGTGAAGCAAATAGCTCTTTGCCTTGATGGTGTTGGATGCGAGATATGTTGTGTTGAGCTTGGGACGCAGTGTGTTTTGGAATGTTGTATGAAGTATGAGGACTGTAGTTCTATGTATACTGATTAGATATGACATATGTAGATGTTTGTATGATGTTAGATGATAATTAACATATGTATTTTGTATATGTGTGTGATGTTGAACTTTATATGTATTGACTAGATATGATATATA